ACACCTCCACCACGTTCCACCCCACGTCCTACTACGACTTCACGTCCAGTCTCAGGCCTAGCTCGTCCACCGGCTACTCCTACCAAGGTGGGACCACCAGGTGGTATGAGAACTGTTGAAAGCGCAGCTCCACCTGGTAGTAGGGACCGTGTGAGGCAAGGTAAGCTACTCTGAGCTGTAGGTTGTATTGGGATTACGGTAGGTGTACGATTGTTTGTTTAGAAGCTGCTCCAATTCTGCAGTCCTCGCAGTCGAAGCAGCTAGAGCTCGACTCGAAGCAGCTTCTGCCACCACCGTTGTCAGCTCAGCTACAAGAGAAATGCACGCAGCCAGTGGTTAGTCAGCAGTCATTGCTACTAAATCACAAACTAAGTCTCAACAATCGTTGTAGGAGCCCGGACCATGCAAACACTTCGTAGATCGATGGTTCTTCAATACCGAAGATGGCACATGCCATCCTTTCAAGTATGGCGGATGTGCCGGAAATCGCAATCACTTCTTCACTCAAAACGAATGCGAAATACACTGTGCTCGTTTCTTGCGTAAGTTCGCCCATTACTTCGGGTTTTTATATAGGAAATGTTTCGTTCTCATCCATCTAAAACGAGAAAAACGATACCTTTGAGAACGAGGCACTAAACATTGGTACTCGGGCACTTTGTACGGTTTCAGGGCCCTATAACACCCACAAAAAACCCTACGTTCTCTTACCAAGGACGGCGTTGTTAACCACCATCTAACCAACCAGATTACGGTCGTCGTCGTCCATCTTCACCTCACTTCCTCAGTTCTATTTATGTTCAAAGCACGCTTCCATACTACCGCTTTTGCTTCAAACGCTTCGCATGCTGTATCTATACTTGAGCAAAGCACACACGAACTCGTACACATTTCCGCCGCTCACCCTACACTGTTTTAGATCGGGTGTTCGACACTAATGCTACATTGCATGTGCATGAAGCTGAAGCAGCAGCACAAGCAGCCACGACAAAGACGCCCATTGTCCGAGTTCTATCGGAACTTCCGACAAAAACGACGGAAAAGCAGAGGACAGATAACCGTCAAACACAACCTTCTTCGTTCAACAAAAGTTTAACTTCTCACACTCTAACAACAACTTCTGAAAAACCCAGTAACAGTGCGGCTGAGAAAAAATTGTCGACGATTCCAAAACGTGCATTTGCTGCTGTCAATTTGCCGTTTGACATACCTCCCGAGGTTCGGGCGCATGCATCTGGGAATGAAGTGGGAACTTTCTCTACGACTACTTACTACCCGGAAACTTATGAAGCA